GGAAGATCATCCATGATTTCCCCTAAAATTGCAATCCGGTGTACAAAAACTGACCTGCGGTTTGAATCGCAAGGAAAATCTAGTATATACAAATTGGGGAAAAAGAAGAAATCTATAGCAATCAGGAGAAATAGGAAATCAAGGAAAATCTCAAGGAACTTGGAGGAAATCAAGTCAATCAGGGGAAATCAGAGAAAATTGGGGTAAATCTCAAGAAGCTCGAGAAAAATCTTAAGGAAAGCATGGGAAACCTTATTAAGGAAATCAGTCAATCTCTACAGGCTCGGTTATAGGATTTCCATGATTGTTCAATTGAATTTTAGTGTTTTTTAAAATGATTACGCCTATATTAGACCTATATGTAAAAAATTATTTACAATTTTTTTCACCTGTCCAAGAATTTGACAGCTTTCAATTGGATAACGTTACCCTCGTAAAAAGTGACAAGGAGATGTCAGAAAAATTCGAAATAAAGCGCGTTCGACAGCTGAAGTCCTAATTCTTTTAATTTCGCGAATAATTTATGCGGTATCTATTTTAAAAAAAGTTTAAAATTTTTTGGACCTGTTAAAAAATTTGACAGCTCTCATTTTGATAACGTTACCTTCGTAAAAAGTAACAAGGAGATGTCAGAAAAATTCGAGATAAAGTGCGTTCGACAAATGACGTCCTAATCTGTCAAAATCGATTTTGACATTTGACACCTGTCAACATTTTTTCGTTCCAAATAAAAGCCCCTGTAGGGCGTATAAATTAAAACCCCCGCGAAGCGTATGTACCATTACGCTCGCAGGGCGTATTTTTTTTATACGCCTGCAAAGCGTATGTATCATTACGCCTCTATTAGGCCTAAATGTAGAAAATTATTTAGATACAATTTTTTTTCACCTGTAAAAAGTGACAAGGAAATGTCAGAAAAATTCGATATAAAGTGTGTTCAATAGGCAATGTTTGTAGATCTAACGCATTCGCAGTTTTTACAAATCTTTATAATTTGAAATTATATTAGGTATCAGAGAAACTCTTGGTTAATCTTATAGAAATCAGAGAAAATCATGGGAAATAATTAATGATGTCCTCTAAAACCGCAATGTGTACAAAAACCGGCCTGCTTTTTAAATCGCAAGGGAAATCTGGTGTACTTACAAATTGGGGAAAATTAGGAGGAAATCCGAGGATATTTAAGAAAATCAAGAAAAATTAGAAGAAATCATGCGAAAATTGAGGAAAATCTTAAAGAACCCGGAAAAAAATCTTGAGAAAATCATGGGAAATTTAGATCTAACACATGTGGAGTTTTCAAAAATCTTTATGATTCAAGGTTATGTTATCAGGGAACTTTTGGGCAATCTTACAGAAGAAATCAAGGAAAATCATCAAAAATTATTATGATTTTCCCTAAAATCGCAATCTGGTTGACAAAAACTGACCTGCGGTTTAACCCCCAAGGGAAATCTGGTGTACAAATTAGCGACAATCAAGAGGAAAACCAAGGAAATCTAAGGCAATCAGAAGAAATCAGAAAAAATCATGAAGAATTTAAGGCAAATTTTAAAGAACTTAGCGGAAATCAAGGGAAATCTTAAGGAAATCAGTCGATCCCTGGCCACGTATTCGTAGTTTTCAAAAATCTTTATAATTTAAGGTTGTTGTCAGGAGAAATTTTGAGCAATCTAATCAGAAGAAATCAGGGAAAATCATAAGAAATCATCCATGATTTCTCCTAAAACCGCAATCTAGTATACAAAAACTCACTTGCAGTTTATACCTTTCGAAATTAGGTCTGGATTATACAGTAATCATAGTTAAGAGGTAATAAAGATTTTCATAGTTTTCCTATTGTAGAAGAGCCAGGAATAGGATTTTTACGATTTCCTAGTTAAGTGTAAGTCATGTTTCAGTTTACAAAGAGTAAAAATGGAATTTTCAAGAAGCTTTATCTACTGGTATTGGATATTGCATAAATAAAGACTTCCAAAATAAAATTGAAGAGCCTAGAATAATTTAATTCATTAATGAGAATGTGTAATAGTGACTTCGGATGTTGCTTCAAATTCTTCCAAAGTCACTAATCATTTTTGAAAGAATGAAAGTTGCTTTGGAACATTTGGAAGGTTGCTTAAGACATTTTTGAAGCTATGAAAAAATGGAAAAACTCTTGATGTTCTGGCTTCAAGCAAACAAATGGTGATTCCATTGAAGGATTTTCAATTCAAATATTGACCCAGCTTAATTCAAGATGCTTTTCTTAAGATTATTGAAAATATCTTTTACAGTCAACAATTCCGAATTGTTGAAAGATATCAAGGTACAAATTTGGTTGAAAGTTTGAAAATCCCGGTTTATTGGGCTACCATTTCTTTATCCATTAGAGCTTGGAAAAGTCTAGTTCATGTTCAATTTGTATCCAAAATGTTGTAAGCTGAAAAAAAATCAAGATTCCTATAACGCTGTTGTCCCAGATTACAGATTGTGAATAGACAATATATGATTGGCTTCAAAAATTCCCTTACTATCAACTCCACTCTCAGACTCACAATCATTACATCGATAATTCTTAAAAGTGTATGGAGTTTAGGGGGTCCAAACTGATTATGTGGATGCAAAATCTCAACACAAAAAAATTTGAAATTTCATCATTTGAGTATTAAGGTAGCTACCTTATGATTTGGATTTTTAAAAACTTTGAGGAACCATAACTTTTTTTCTATTATAGATGGAAAGCTGAAATTTTCAGCGATTTTTATTCCAGTAAAGGACTATATATATAATCCCTGAAAATTTCAGCTCATTTGGACCTATAGTTCCAGAACTAAAATCCTGTTAAGAAATTTGGTTTTTCAATTTTTCCAAGTGACTTTTCTCATAGAATCTGGCTTCAAATTTCAGAAAAATTTAGTATACGGAGTATGGAGGATCCTAAAGGACACAAAATCTCAACAGTGGAAGACTACAATCCCTGAAAATTTCAGCACATTTGCCACATTTGGACTTATAGTTCCAGAAATAAAATCGCGTTAAGCAATTTAGAGCAAATTTATCAATTTTTCTGAATGCATTTTTCATAAATTTCGGCTTCAAATCTCGGAATAATTTAGTGTTTCGATTTAACCACAAGTTAGAACAAGATTTTCCAGGATGTGTAGCACATATACTAGCCAGCATAAATTCACCTCATTAAGCAATTTAAATGCTTCCGAAACTAATTTTTTAATTAGTTTCCAAGTAGTTTACCAAAAGTAAATTATTTCTGACAAGCTTAACTTCAAATGGTGGTCGATTTCACTTCTCCCAACTTTCTTTTGTCTTAGTTCTATTTCCAAACTCTGATGCTTTATTTTACAAGATAAATAAAATTGTTTTTGTAATGAAACCGTCTCGGAAAGATTTACTGGCTGCTTACTAATTTCCCGGTAGTCCGAAGATTTATTGTACCGAATCGGTTTTTATGAAGCCCCCTCGCTTAATAAAACAAAAACTTATTTAGTTTTCAGAGACGAGTTGTCTATATTCAAACAAGAAGCTGGAATTAAATAGTTCTCTAGGCTGGTTGGAGTTTTCATTTTCTCTACTATGGAGGATTTATTGAACAATGGTGAAAATGTAAGTGTTTTTCCAATAAAGGCTTCTTTTGTTGAAGTCTTAATATCGACAAATTGGTTTTGTATTGAACAAAGACGACATAGGGTGTATTGGAGAGTGAATTTTTTATGAAGCGGACGATGGAAAAATATTTGTAGGCTAAATTTGGAGACTTTAATACAGTTTTTGAAAATGTACAAAACAATTTATAGATTTCAGACTTAGTCGCAGACATCGCATAATGAAATGAAACCAATATTTTCCATTAAAATGTTAACATTGCAGCTGCATGATTGTCGGAAACAGATTAGGCAAAGATGTGAACAAGTCAACTAACCCAAACAAGTAGTAGATTTTTATGTAGGTATTTGCTTATTTTTCAGGTGATATGCCATTTCAGCTTTGGTGATTGGTCACTCGACTAATAAAATCCCTTAAAGCACAAGACTGTTCAATTCCATCAGATTAGAGTGGGAGTGAACGAATTTTGAATTTGCCTGCTATCAGTATGTAAATTCCAGGACCCCTGATGTCACGTTAATGGCACCCTTTACTATCAATTCTCAATTATTCCCATTTCGCATGGATGTTTCACTTATTTACATTTGTGAAGTAGGATTTTTCTTTTTACACGTGGCAAGTTAACATAGACATCCTTTGTTTATGAAATGGTAATCTAACTGTTGCCAGTTATAATATAAGCGAACCGTAAATCACTGGTCTGGAAGTGCCCAAGCAATGAATTTTAACGGTGTGTCTAATTTAGACTATAAATTTAATGTCGTTTTTGTGGGCTTATCAAAGTTGATTACCGCTTTGGACCCATCAGAAACAAATATTATCATTATAGCAGATTATTAGGTGAACATTTTACAACAAGAGTTTTCTTTATACATTTTTTTCTTGTGACAACAGTCTTTCCAGTCTTCAAGATAATAGGTATTATACATGCTATAGGAGGAAACAAAATCTATTTAACTAAACCTCACTGCAAATTCTGATTCTCTAAATAACAAATTCATTTTGACAATGATAATGCATTTAACAAAGTACCTTAACATAATCAAATTCACTTTACTAAGCCAAAAGTGCATCTTTCTCTCCTCATTAACTTGCCTACTAGAGCTGATATTGGTAATTAAATTATCTCCTTTTCATCTATCCATACCTGTTTTCCCACTTATGTTAATGCACATCTTGAGTTTCTTCACTTTATTGAGCACAGATTTACATATACATCGCTGATAAATTGGATAAGTAATACAAAACGTATACCGGAATGGAATTTCAAACACCGGCAGATTGCCGGCGAATAAAATTATCGTTGGAAGGATTTACTGGCAAATAAATTAAACTTTTTTTAATGTATTTTAGACATAGTTGAGCGTTTTCTGTAATAATTTTTTTATTTTTTCTAGGAGACTGGAGTGGTGGGAACACCCGTAACGTTACGAGTGGATCCGCACGGTTTTTACTTGTACTGGGTGGATCAAAATCACGAAATGGATCTGCTGGATATTTCGAATATAAGGGACACGCGTACAGGACGATACGCCAAAATTCCAAAGGTAATTTTTTCACGTATAAACAAATCATGCAAGCAATCAAACAAGATAATACATATACCTAATTACTTACAATGAAATACCAGAGTGTTCTTTATTGAATTGTGGAAATTCCATTACATTCGATTCGAAGTTTTTCTAGATTGATCCGAAGTACGATTTTGACTATAAATATCGCGTAGTGGAAACTTTGGTAGTGGGTACTAAAATTTGAGATTTAGTTTAAATTCGAGATTTGTTGTGTACGTTTGAATGTAAATTTCATATAAAATCAATTAGTTTAATGAAAGTTTGAAGATGAGTTTTCGTGAACCCGGAATCCGTGGTGTCAGGATTTCGAAGTATAAAGCTGAAGAGCATCATCAAGCAGAGAAAGGAACTAGGAAATTCATCCAACGACATTCTGAGACAATTGGAAACATCTTGGCAACATTGTTTATTTGCAGAACTAGCTCCTTTGTGAGAATCCATAATGCTCATCTAATGCGTGAACTGTTTAGAAGACTTCCCATGACGAAATAAGAAGTAGAGTCATAAGTAAGGCTACCATATTATTCTGATAAAAAAACGGGACATTTTTATGAAGCCAGTGTGTCATGTATTTATAGAAAAAATAGCGCCACAGGCGAATTTTTTTTTTCGGAACCACCACCCGTAGGACGAACCCACGAATAATATACACTACTACTACTACAGGATAGCCTATCCAAATAAGGCCTTTTGTACAACAAATCCGAAGCCCCCCTATCCCACTAAATCACCATTTGTGACGTAGGTAGCATGTCGTTTCTCGCCTTGACGTAGGCTGTTTGCACCACAGGTTATGATTCCATCTTTCTATTTGCCTATTATGCTTGATCAAAATAAAATAACATTTTTCATCATAAATTTAAATTCTAAACTACGACTGCTGGCGCAAACAGCTAACGTCACTTAGTTGATCACGTCGGCAATGGTGATACACCAATATGGTGGGGATTACCCAAAACGAGGCCGATAAGCAATCCTTAGTGGTGTGTATGGTCCTTGGGCCAAACTCGCCAAATTCTAAACTGTCAAATATCAAATACTGACGAATAACCACCACGTTGCGATTTACTAAGACTAGAGATTAGGCGCAAAAATCGATTTATTTATGCCACCACAGAGACTGGTAATGAGACGGGCGAATTATTTCACACTTTTTGTAATGAGAATACGGGACATTTACGCGTCCCAACAACAAATTTGGGGACGCGGGATCTTGAAATAAGGGACTGTCCCGTATAATACGGGACGTATGGCAGGCTTAGTCATAAGTAGATCGTATATATGCTTACAGAGGGAGCTGTTGAAGAGTGTTCAAGTCGGTAGTCATTGCCAATTGTCCTAGTAATAAAGAAAGATGGATCTACCAGATTTTACTTCGATTACAGAAAGCTTAACGATGTCACTAAGAAATGATGATGACACCCTTACGACATTGGTTGGTAGACTCTCAGTGTTGCACTGTTGCCAGGTTGCTTTCATAAAGAGTAACAGATTCGTCTTAGAAATGGTAATAGATTTTAACAAATGGTAATAGATTTTCTTACAGCTGGCGCCACATATGGGAGTTCATGTAACCTTTTTTTTTATCATGAATAAATATCTAATATTTGAGATTAACTTTTAATAGTGTACATTCTTCTATAAAAAATAAAACTCGTGATTCGTGAAAAAAAATTAGAGCATAGCTTAAAATTACATTTTTACATATAAAAATGTCATTTTAGGCTACAGTTAATGTTAAACCTGCCTAAATATGGTCGGTGCAAACCAAGGATGATACACACCAAAGATGATACACACTACTACTGCAGGATGGCCTATCCTTATAAGACCTGTGTGTAACAAATCCCCCCCGCCAAATTACCAGCTGTGACATAGGAGTAGGCAACATGTTATTTCTCGCCTTGACGTCATATCTTGACGTAGGCTGTTTAAACAGCTGACGACTTAGTTATGACGTCGGAAATGGTAACACACCAATATGGCGGCGATTACCAAAAACGAGGCCGATAAGCACTCCTTAGAATATCTATTCTCCTTGGATACACACTTCTGTGTACTAGTACAGGGTAATCGTAATAGATCTATTACAATCAAGTAATTTCTATCACGCTATTACCAAAGGAAAAAATCTATTTTTTTTTCGGGAAAATTATGTTTTTGTGAATAAGCAATTGAAAAATGCTACAGGCGAGTAAATTGAGCATAAAAACACAGCATAAAAATAAATACGGCGTATAATGGTGGAGAGATTGATGGAAAAAAAAGCGCCTATTCAATAGGCAATTTTTCGCGAGGATAATCAAGCATAATCTTTTGCTGGGTTATGTGATGTGATGTGTCCATTCTGTCATACTCCTCTAACTCCCCTACCATGAAATTTTGGGATACTCGAGGATCAGAAACACTTCTGTGAGGACAGACCCAAATTCACCTTTTCAACATTTAAAATCCACGAAACACTAGCACAGCCTGAATCGCAAGCATTCCATCGAAGTCTGCGAGTGACGTCATCACTATACAAATTTGATGGTGACGAAGTTAGGGGACTATGACACATCACATAACCCAGCATAATCAGACTATGCTTGATTAGCCTCGCATTCCTCGCGAAAAATTGCCTAATATTTTGGTCATTTGTCATGCATAATTGACAGATGAAAGAATCTATTACCAAAAAGTCAAATCTATTACAATTTTGGCTTCAATCTATTACATTTAATTTTCGTGAGGTGGCAACGCTGCCTGGAAAATCCTCATTTTCTCTCGAAAAAAGTAATGACGTCATTTTTCAAAAGGTTCAAAACAGATTTCAAAAACATTTTGAACCGTTGGGCTCGAGAAAAAATACTTTTAGTTATGACGTCGGAAATGGTGACTCACCAATATGGCGGCTATTACCAAAAACGAGACTGATAAGCAATCCTGTAGGTATGTGTTATCCTTAGGTGCGAACGGCCATAAACTAGATATATATATTTGGATAATGATTTGGACAGGCCCTACGATTCTCACCTTAAAACTATAAAAATGAACTTAGAACTTCTTTTGAGATATAAAAAATAAATATCTTTTATTATTCGAGCAGAAAATGCATAACAAAACATATAAAAAAAAGGTATTTAATAGAATTTTTAAAAAGGTAAAAAGGTAAAAAGGTAATGAACTCCTCTAAAAAAAAAGTAACAGATTTGTTACAATAATAGACTGGCAACACTGTAGACTCTGTTGTGGTTAGTAGTTTAGGTCAGTATGTCACTTCACTTCTACGTTAATGCTTCACGCTTCAGACTGTAGCTGATTTGTGATTGTCAGCGAGTTTTTCAGTTTAGTTCTAGATTATTAGAAAGTTCAATAAATAGTTCTGTCCGTAAGAATGTGTGTGTATTTATCGTATTTTACTAAAAATACACCACATATTCAAACTGGTTTTTTACTTCGGATTTGAAAAGCGAATACCTAAAGGCAGGTGGGCATTGACGAAAAAAACAAAGACAAGACAGCCTCTCCACTGGAAGTGGTCTTTACCAATTCAAAGTAGATATAGAGAATTATGGCACTTTCCAAATAGTGATCGATTTTATTACTGATCGGCCTTATTTAATTACTGACAGTCACTATTTCTTATGAATAAAAAGAATTATGGCACAACATGTTCAATTGGCACTATTTTGATCATTTTTTCGCGTCAGTGTCGCGTTGTTTACTCAATTGTAATGAAAGAAAAGTTATAAACTGCCATTCTAGGGGGTGCAAATGATGTTTTTCGATTTTATCCATTAACAAAACACAAATAAAAAATTAGGCAATTTAATCCATTTGTCAAAATGGAAAATTCAATATGGCGTGGCGGTCAAGCAAGTTTGTTTTGAATATGTTTTTATGCGTATTTTAAATTATTTTGCTTAGAGCTTTGCTTGCAACTTTGATTTTGATTATTTAATAAAATATTTGTTGATTAGGTACCTAAATTATTAAATCGGGCAGAAACTAGATATTTTTTTGTGTTTTTTGGCCCATGTGTGGCCGCCACGCCATCTTGAATGTCACGTGGTTTAAATTGCCTAATATAAACAAATTATGTGAGGTTAGAATCTGAAAAATTCTTGGACAACTGACATATGATTTATATTTGCGCATGTCTCAAAAAATAGTGGAATAAATACTGCCTTTCACTATCCAATCACAAATAAATAAGGATGATCCTTATTTTATTACTGACCACCACTATTTTTAATCACTAATACGCATGCGTAGGTGTCAGAGAGTTATTGGAACTATTAAATACCTCATCGATGAAAAGCAAAACGTCAAAGTCGTCCAAAATGTCAGAAATTTGAAATAAGGGAAGTTTACTGCCTCGCACTAACCATACACAACTAAAGACAAACAGTAACCTTATTAAGGGAATCCTTATTTTCGGACCCAAATGTGCATGCCTAGATGTCAAAATAAGGCTAATTTAAATACTGCTTGTCCTTATTGCGCGTCCAATAACTCTCTATTGTCAAAATAAGAACGTTATTTTCATTAGTGACCGTCGCTATTTGAAGGTGCCATAATTCTCTTTGATAAATTGCTAGCTATCAAAAACAAGTTTCAAAATATATTTTTTTTAATAACACAATTCGCGTAACGATTGATTTATACACCTATTTTTGATGAAAACGCGAATTCAGTCTATTTGTTTTATCATAACAATTTGTTCTAAAGCAAATAAACAGTGTTCTTTATCTGCTTTACACGCTGAACAGAGGGCATATTGATTTTGAATTTTCAGACGGAATATTTCAGCAAAATGGGCTGGTGAATTTATGTTGTAATTATCAATGATTCACATATTTATTTATGGGTCATTGTTCACCTACCATTTTTGGGTATCAGTCAAGTTGTGATAATATACATATTGCAGCTTATTCACAGTTACATATGCGAACCAAGACCAAGAACGAGATGTATCAGAGATTCAGAAA